AAACCTTCCATGGTAATTCGAGATTAAATTTTCCAATCAAATTTCCTCTTTTTATTTCAATTCTGAAAAATGAACTAAAAATTCCAAATCTTCTCTTTTTTTAAATTAATCTTGTCTAGCTCCAACCCATTCCTACAGCTACGTAGTAATAAACTTGCTTTATTACAAAATTTGTTGTCAACGAATTCTATTCCAAGACATCATTTTACTCATCATTAAATTCACAAATTTCAAACAAATTTCAAATAATAATCGAAAGAGTTCTGAGCTTCCACAACTCTGATGTTCAAAAAGTTCTCCCAAAACCCTCTCCATTTCGCGGGTTTTGAATGAAGCACGCGGCCGATAACACTATGGACCTTGAGTGACACCCCTCAATCCAAGGAAAATTCCTAGAACGAGACTCTACACTCACAGAACTTCAGAAAACCGAGAAGATTCTTCTCGATGCCTGGACAGGCTCGAGACGTACAATGCTGAAAGGATCCTCTTCGAGAAACTGCGAAACTTCTTCGAAACGGAATATGTTTCTTTCTTCCAATTCTGCTGGAATATTATTATTATATAGGAAGCGAATATACTGTTATCGGGGAAAATCGTGTTCTCGAGTCGTGAGAACGTTTTTTAGGGAAAAGAGATGCGGGAACAACGTTGAAAACACGGGCTCGACGTGTTTCTCTCATTCTCCGTGAATCCGGAGGCGTTTTCATCCACCTGTAGCTCCTAGTCTGTCAGTTTCTCGAGTGAGCATCCACTTCGATGTCACTTCGTTCCTCTTCCTCCATTCGATCCTCCAAGACGGATCCCCTTCGATCGATCGATCGATCGATCGATCTTGTTTCGAAAAAGATTGACGAGGGATCGCTCGAGGTATACGAGATTCGTTTCGATGCGCTTTCCAATATTTTTTTCCCTTTTCTTTTCGTTCAAGACACATATCCGTAACCGTCGCGATGTTTCGTATATATTCTTTTTCGATTAACTTTCCAATCAACCAGTCTCGACCAGGATTCTCTCCTCCCTTGTAAAAGGGAGGAGAGACGTCCAATTCGCCCGGCCTGGATCGCGGCTCTCTGGATAATCGATGTCGCCAGTCACCCTCGAAACGTCGCCTCAAATTTTTCGTCGCGTTGCTCTTCGAAAAAAAAACGGTAATCGAAAAGTTTTTTGCGCTTCCTTGCGCTCTCCTTGATTGCGGCGTACGTCGAAGTAAAGAAAAATCGATTGGCGCAAAAATTCATTGGAAAATTCGGTGGAGAATAAAAAATTTATTTCGTTCTTTCCGACAAAATTCGAAGTTTCGTTCCTTTTTCTTTTTTTAGAAAATCACAAATGGAATTATATTGTCAATGATACGCGACAAGAGTTGTATATATAAAAAGTAGGAAATGAAATGAGCTTCCGAATCAAAATACTTTTAGAAAGCAAGCTTGTCTTGTAAACGGTAAAAAGAGAATAAATTGGATAAACTTCTCGTTTCGAACGGTTTCGTTCGGGTCGATGAGAGGATAAAGCGATTTAGCGGTTCGCCACTCGTCCATTTAATTCCATTAATAATTCGATCCCTTTTGTCGTCGTAGCTCTTGCGAGTCGACACTCTTCGCCCCTTCGTGGCTTCGTTCGACACGAATCGAATCGAACGAGATTATATCCACCTTCAACGCTCTGCACATTCAGATATTTAGATATTCCTTCGAGTCTCAACGACAGCTTTCCCATTGTTTACTGAAAGATGCGACGGTCAAATCGATTCATTTTCGATTCTCTCGAATATTTTTCTCTCATCGAAATCCGATCGAATCGAGCTTTTATTCCTGCTAAATTTCGTTTACATCTTCGATTAACAAGAGGCTTTGCATTTCTTATATTGAGAAATGTTAAGTCAACTTCAAAACGGAGAGATATTCGACCTTAAATTCCTCGAAAACTATGATCCCAGAACAACTGTCTTTAACAGTTAAGTTCAGAATTGAGACAATCGTGACGAAAGTATTATAAAAGTTTCGTCCTAAGTTTAGAAGCCCTAAAAAAAAGGTGAAGATGAATTTGATTTCTAATGAATTATTGAGTTCAATCGGAAATCAACGATTCCAATGTTTATATTTAAGGAATTAATGAAAGTTGTGATGAAAATAACGATACAGTGTCAAGTGTAAATCACAATATCGATGCCCCACAATATTCTAATAATATATTCGTGAAAAAATCTAATGATTTCACGTATTATCCATAAGATATTCGGATATGCGCGGAATCGTCTCGAGTTAATTCGAAGCTGAACAAGCAACGGTGTCTTCTCGAGCAAAATTTTCCAAAATTTATAAAATTTGGAAAATTTGTAAATTGTTTTGCATCCGATTATTTGTTCCGTTTATACGATTCATTTACGATGAAACGCAGAACAATATTGGGTATTTCTGGCGCATCGATCGGCGAAACTCGATCTTTCGTTTTCGTCCGATCAGCCGAAGAATCATCTCGAGTTGATTCACAAAGGGTTGAAGACAAGCAACGGTGTCTTCTCGAGCAAAATTTTCAAAAATTTATAAAATTTGGAAAATTTGTAAATTGTTTTGCATCCGAGTATTTGTTCCGTTTATACGATTCATTTACGATGAAACGCAGAACAATATTGGGTATTGCTGGCGCATCGATCGGCGAAACTCGATCTTTCGTTTTCGTCCGATCAGCCGAAGAATCATCTCGAGTTGATTCACAAAGGGTTGAAGACAAGCAACGGTGTCTTCTCGAGCAAAATTTTTCAAAATTTGTAAATTGTTTTGTATTATTTGTTTATACGATTCACTTGACGAAACTCAATCTTTCGTTTTCAACCGATCAACCAAAGAATCGTTTCGAATTAATTCGCAAAGAATCGAAGACAAGCAATGGTGCTTTCTTGAGCAAAATTTTCCAAAATTTGTAAATCGTTTTATTATTTATTTATACGATTCACTCGATAAAATCGGTACAATATCGGTTATTGCTGGCGCGTCGATCGGCGAAACTCGATCTTTCGTTCCGATCAGCCGAAGAATCGTCTCGAGTTTTGCAAAAGACTTTGCAAAAGCAACGGTATCTTCTCGAGCAAAATTTTCCAAAATTTATAAATTATTTTGTATTATTTGTTCCGTTTATACCATTCACTCGACGAAACTCGATCTTTCGTCCGATCAGCT